GATTCACGCCACAATATGCATTGGAGCATGCTATCTGGTGGGGTGACGCGAACACACCTATACATCTTACAGATGTCCCCATTAAGTGCTATGGGAAAAGTCCGAAATCTAATAAGGATATTAAAAAGTTTCGGCTGAATAGTTGGGCCTGCCATGAGTAGGTCGTTCAGCGAAAAGCCCGAAGTAGTGGATGCAGAGCCATCAAAAACCACTCTCAGCTTTGTTGTGCTACTGTCATCCTTGATGACGCAATGACGCGGCAGAAAATACTTGCATTGTTTAAAAACCTCATTGGTAACTAGCGACATGTGATTAAGGTCCAGATATTCCTTTATGAACTTACTATATTCTGTTTTAAGCTCAGGGTTACGAGCGAATTTTCGTTCAAGACTTTCGAAGCGTTGACGAGCTTGCAAATAGGAGTCTCCAAGGGCCTCCACACCACGCTTCATGGGAAGACGAACTGAGTATTCGCCTGATGACAATCGCAAATAATTTTCCCGGAAGTGGGCTTCGCAGTCGATATCTTCTTGGGAGGCCTTAGAGATCGGCTCGAAGTTGTGCTCTATTTCCCAGAACTGACGCACTAAATCTTCCAACCGAGTGGCAATAATATCACTGGAGGACTTCCGTCGCACCACAAAAGATGATAGTTTTGGAGCTTGTTGCCCCCCTCCAGATAGCATCCAACCGAGGCGTGTTTTCTGAAGGAGTGGTAAACCAGATGCCAAGCGTATCTGCCCCACACATAGCAGATCGAAGAACAATGCTGCTCCAATGAGCAGATCAATTCGCTGCGGTAAGTTGAACCCAGGATCAGCTAGTTGTATATTCGACGGAACATTCCTCTCGTTGGTGCTCACGGAGCAGCCAGGCTGGTTGTCGGTTATGGTTTGCACAACAACAGCTGTTATGTTTGTTGAGAAATCTGAAGTCCGCGACTTCAGTACGAGGTCGACTGAGTAACCATCCGTTGAGAAATTGGCATCTCCAATGCCAGATACTGTAGCAGAAGATTTTGCTTTTACAAGCTGCAATTGGTTTGCAAGGCGAGTTGTGACAAAGTGTAACTGGGAGCCAGAATCTAAAGGCACGAAGCTTCCAGCACGATTTTTTATCAGAACGACGGCAGTAGCTAGGAACACAGCATCAAAAGGAGATACTGGGACACTAGGCGACACAGATAACGATGCAGTCATAGCGTTCGATTGAACAGTAGCTGCCGACGAAGCTTCGGCTTGACTATTGATTAACGATGCAGTTGAGCGTTCGAAATGCAAGAGCGTGTGGTGTTTCGACTGACAGGCGCGGCACGATCCGGATTTGCAGTCACGAATTTGATGCCCAGTTTTTAGGCAGTTAAGACAAAGGAAAAGCTTCTTAACTTCCCTCAGGCGTAAGTTCGGAGACAAATTTGCGAAGCGTTGACAGCTATAAATTGCATGCTCGGCAGATCCACAAAACACACAAACACATTTTGAGCCGTTGGAAGCAACAAAGGATTTCCTCTGACCAGTACTCACGTTCTTGTTAGCTTTTACCGCCTGACCAGTCGGTGTCTGCATAGAATGCTCAACGTTCTCGAGTGCTCTGCAGCGCTTCTCCAAGAACATAGCTAATTGATCCCAGGATGGCAGTTCGCTGATCGATGAACTCTCCTCCCATTTAGTCTGCGTCTTTTTGTCGAGTTTCTGGATCACCAATTGTACGATGATGCCATCTGCGATCTTCCCATTGGATGCGAGCGACTGCAATGCGCGTATGTGTGCTGTGACCTTATCTGTCAGCTCTCGTAGCTTGGTTACGTTTGAATCTGCCATCTCTAGCCCAAATATCTCCCTGACGTGTGCCTGAAATATAAGACGTTTGTTATCGAAGCGCTTTTGTAAAAGATCTAATGCAGTGTTATAATTAGCGTCGTTTATTTCCAGCGAGCGCACGGTGTCAAGGGCAGCGCCGCTCAGACAGGAACGAAGATGCTGCAATTTGTCGATGTTGGTGAGTCGCTGTCCTTGTCGATTATTGACGTGAACATTGAATAGAAATTTGTCCACTCGGTGTAGGCGCCACTGAATTTAGGCAGTGTCAGCAATGGCAAGCGTGAGCTATTAGCGTTCACAATGATTGATTGGGTCTCTCTGGAGTTCATTCTGAGCGTGGAGCAATGTTGCGAGGCACTACGTTTACCAATCTCGCGTTGCAGTGTAGCTCTAAGGTTGATTAGAGCAGCATCGAAGTTACTTGTCAGGTCGGCAATGGAGTCGAAGTCCAATTCCTCTAGGCTTGTGTGTGCGGCAGAAAAACTGGATTTCAATTCGCCTAAGGATTCTAGCATTGCTGAAAGACTGTACTCATCCATACTGTGTAGCTTGTCTGCGTCCAACTCGTTAATCAAGCTCTCCAGTCTGCTGAATATGGCCTTTGTTTTCAGCTTTAGAAAGGCTACTCGATCTGCACCTTCCCCTGGCATGACGAAGTTGCTGACGTTTACACTAGTGTGGCAGAATTATCTCAGTAAGCGGCCGGAAACAAACGAAAAATCGCGTGATACGATCACGTCGGGGTCACCAAATGTTGAGCTACTAAGCCTTTTTAACAGCTATTAAAATAAAACAAATGATGTATGCATAAGTTAAGCAACTGTATTTAACAAGATTTGGTCCGCGACTAACTAACAGAAAGTTCACCTTGAACTATTTAAGTATGTCGTAATTAAATTGGATAACTGCAAATTCATCACCAACAATATAAAACCAGTTTTCT